ACACTCTCTCATCTTTCACATCCAGAAACAGAGCCGCTGACAGCGCTGGTATTAGTCTAGACTCCAAAGACTTAAAAACCTTCTGCTTTTTCACTAGTAACTGGGCTGTTGATGCAAGGCAACAAAGCATCAAATATTATAAAATACCAACCTATTAACATCCAAGCAAGGGATCTGGTTAGGAAAGAAAACCAGAGGACTGAAAGGGAAGGTTAAGATGTGTATAGCAATTATTATTCCAGGATCAAGCAGTGATTTGGGGGGAGGGGGGAGAGGATTCTCTCTCAGAAGAAAGAAAGGGAAAGAAATTTCCCCTTTACAAGATCCATCATGTGCTTGCATGTTTGCCAATCCACTTAGGGCCAGTGCTCGTACCGTCTCTCAAGAGGTGCTACACAGAAGAACCAGCCCAGATGGAGAAGTTTAAAGCTACTCTACACCTTTCAGATTCAAATAAGGGCTGAAACAGCTTGCAGCATAAGGCAGGCCAGTTCTGGGGACTGGACTACCATATAGCGAAGCTGGCTAGGGGCTGCACAGTACTCAGAGTTACAGGTATCCAGTCCCTTGGCCTCCAAAGTGCATGTCTGCTTACACTGGACCTATTGCAATCTGCATCTTCCCTGCAGCTCCCAAATGCTGCTGGAGTGTGGTGAGGACCAGAATCTTCCCCTTCCCTAGCAGAGGTGGACAATGATCCTGTGGGTGGCAGCAGTAGCTTTGGAGCCCTTGCCTTCCTCCTGAGCTGGCAGGTATCACCAGTTTCACGGTTAATATACTGAGTCTGGTACCAGATCTCAATTCCTGACTTGATTTTGCTGCCTAACAAAAAGGTACTTGCCCACCTGGGTTGCTTAGACCATAGGATCAGTGGGTAGGGCCCACGTTTTTCTTCTACGTACAGTACCTGAAACAAGTGTCCTCATCTGTACATGGTGTAGTTCTGCATCCCTGCAATGCAAATCATAAGTTAACAGCAGACTGTTGTGAACCATTTCCTTGGCCTCCTATTTCACAATGAACCTTCTGAAGCAGAGCTTCACAGAGGCTGCAAGGACTTGCAGCACTGATTCACAAAAGGGCAGTTTGGGGTGCACTCGCCAGTGGCTTGCAGTCACCTTGGCTGGTCCCAGGAGGCAGCCTCCACCCCTGGTTTCCAGATGCAGAACCACACTGCAAATGCTACAAGTACATTATTTACAAATCTTTTTTCCAGTGTCTGATGAAGGGTGTTTGTGCCCGAAAAATTGCAATTAAAGAATTTTTTTTTTGCAAAAATCTTGTTGGTCTAATAAAAGATATCGTCTCTACTACGAGTCCCGATTGCTTTTTTCTCTAGACCCATATGGCTACAACCTGGATGCCTTATTTACCTGATGTAACTTTCCAAAATAGCAGCTCCTCAGGCAGATATGTGACTACAAATGGGGTAAGTGGCCCATCCCCAGGCTACGAGTGGAGAGCCCCTGCTGATATTGTGGGCATTGAAGACAAGGGAAAATGTTGTTTTAGCTATTCAGGTTTGCCTGGGACTTTTGACTGATTTTCACCATTCCTAACAATGCAGGAATGTTGCCTGTAAAATGTTTAAAGAGGTATGCAACAGCTGCGCCCTGTCTAGTTGGCCAGTGACCCTAATGAGCTCTGCCGCAGAACCTCTTGTCAACCATGGAAGTACAGAGAAGTGCAGCTAGTCAGCAGCAGAGAACAAAGCAGCCCAGCTCCTTCCAAGTGCCTTGCCTCCCCACCTCAAATCTGTACTGTCCCCCTGCTAATCAGCATTTGCCTTTTAAAAGAAGCAGCATTCAACCCAAGAGAGGCCAAGCCCCTTGTATAGTTAAAGTATCTTTATTTTATAAAACGTAATACAAAGCATCTACACCATTCACAGGTGGAAGGTTAATAATTATTACACAGTAATTCCAACACAGGTTAGTATTTCATGGTCCCCTTTCAACGAGTCCCACGGTTCCCCATTTCCTGCTGCTTGCAGACGTTATGGGTTCTCTCTCAGGCTCAAGAGAATTTAGGATGGCATCTCCCCACCTCCACTGGCAACGTACCTTTGTGTTCTCTCGGACTTGATCTGTACTGGTGCCCATCACCAGTGTGACAACATCTTGTCTCAGGAAGGCTTGCTGGCCCCTGTGTCCAAAGCCATTGCTAGAGATGCTTTTCCTTCCAGCACCCTTGTTTCATGTTCTCAGCAGCAGCTCTGCAATCTGCAACAAGATCTCCTTTGGCTTTTCGTTAGCACGAGGAAATGAACCCCGTGGCCATGGAAGTGTATATATTTCTAAGCAAGCAACAGCTCATGTACGTGGCATAGCTAACTGGCACCTGCATGGACTTCAGCTGCACTCCCAAGTTTACTTGGCCAGCTGCGATGGCAATACTTGTGCATGCAAATGCACACAAGCACCTTTGAAAATTGGATCAGGTCTGCTTTGGATTAACATGGCCAACACCTCCCTCCCCTGACCCTTTCCTTTCAAACTGGGAATGCTGCTTGAAAGCATACTGCAGGACTGGCCCCAAGGGATATCTCCAGTTCCCCACAGCAGCTGGTCCCTCCTGCACACACTGTTCAGTAGCATCTCATGACCTGCACTTCCATGCCCGGAGTAAGCCAGAAGCTGAGAAGCAATATCTCAAAGTCAGAGAGTCTAGTTCTAATCCCAGTCCATAGCTTATACCATGATGAGAAGGGCTCAAATCACAGCAACAATACTCTGCATTTAACAGCGCTGCCCAACTGATTCTACAAGCCCTTAACAAAAGGTGGGGAAAGTGCTTTGCTAATGAGAACACCCCATGAGGTAGGTCAATAGCCCCGTTTTACAGATGGGTAAACTGAGGCAAAGAGGTAACACAACCTGCCCAAAGCCAGAGGCAGAGTTGGAAGCATAACTCAGGCAACCTTCCTAACCCCCTGTGCTAATCATCTCTCTCCTCTCCAGCTTGAACACATAATGCTGCACTGTGCAAAAGGGTTTTCCCCTTTCTATCCACCCAGCTCGCTTGAACCAACAGGTGGCAATTTGCTCTTCTGTTGTTGGGCTCCACTGGGCACCACTGGCAGCTGAACGGAAAGGTCCTGTCCAGGTTCAAGCCAGAGGAATCTGAACACGAAAGCCCAGGATTGAAAACAAAAGAACAAGCTGTGCTTAGGGGCATTCAGCAATCAATGAACAATGGTGCATGAGCAGAGCATGACCCGCTTGGTGCAGGGGGCTGGACCTGATGATCTTCCGAGCTCCCTTCTGGCCTTACAATCGATGAATCTACGAGCAGAGGAAGATGCTGCAGCCAGCCACACAGACTGGATGCAGCACCACGGCCCTGCCTCAAATGGCTTTAGCAGCCTTGGGGAATTTTTTCACCCATTCCACCTCAGGATGAACTGGCCCCTTCAATACATCAGTGACCCATCCTCAGAAAAAAACAGCTGATCTTGGTCGTAGCCCCTACCCCAAGATGTGAAGGACCAGCCCAGGCCCAAGGACTTACTTTGTGCAAATCAGCCTAGGCGCACACCTGTCAGAGCAGCACCATCAGTCTGCTGCTTATACAAAGGAGGGTCTCTCCCATGTCCTCCTGCTACAGCAAGTCCACTTGGCATTTACTGCAATCGGGATTTGCACCTGGGTCTCCCACATCACTACGCATCTAGCTACAGAGTCTCTCTCTCTCTCTGGCCCAATGAGTGATGCTAGCAGAAGAGCTCTGGCAGGACAGACTGGGAGACAGACATGGATTCCCTGTAATGCATTCACTGGAGATGCAGGAAACCCAGGTTCAAGTCCATTGTCTGGCCAGACTCGAACACCAGTAGGGCCCAACAAGGGCCCTCATTGCCAGCTTACTGCCTCTTCTGAGGGGATGGAGTGGACTGGGCAGAACCCCCAACAAGGAAACCTTCCTGCGGGACCTGGGGTAAGAAGTTTCCATTTTGACAAATCCCTTCCCCTGGTCCAATCTGCAGGGCAGCCCAGTCTGACAGCCACAGGGGGAGCCTGGTTCTGGCTTCAAAGATGCTGGGTCAGATCCAGGCCGACTCCACTGAAGACAGCGCCCTATTTACACCCGGGGAACCCAGATCAGGATCAGGTCCCAGCTCTGCAGACTGCCAGTGGAACGGCCCATCTCTGTGAAACAGGAGGAGATTGTACATGATTTTTTGTTTCTAAACTGCCAGAGGAAGTGGGGAAGGAAACACCGTGAGCGCTTTGCATCAGTGCGTCTGAACAGCTCCTAGCACAGTCAAGCCCTGATTCTAACGGGAGTCTCTGGGTCCTACTAGGAGACAAAAATAAATAAAAGTTATTAAATTAGTTTAAAGTAACCATGAAAAAACAAACTGTCCTTCAAGCGTCCTGCCGCTGGGACTTATGCACTGGCTTGGACACCGCAGGAAACACAAGGGTAGTAAATAAATAGACAGCACCTCTCATCTAAGGATCCAAAAGTGCTTTTTACAGGTAGATTAGCTTCATCACCCCCAGTTCAGAGGGGAAGAGAAGTGGGGTGAGAGGTTAGTGACTCCGAACTGAGAAGATGGAGAAGCCAGGACTCCCAGTCACCCCACCCTGCCAGAGTCCCCCCAGGTGTCTCTCTTGGGCAGCACGCTGGACCCTGAGATCTAGTGCTACTTATCAGCCCTTAAGGTGAGCTCAGTGCTGAAGGAGCTCACCACTAATACCGCTATTTACACCTGCGTGGCTGGACTGGCAACTGCTTCTGTCTGAAAACTAAGCCCTTCCTCGACGCCCTGCTATATGCCTACACACATACAGAACAGCACTGAGCCAAGTGCTTCCAGTCCCAGTGCCCCAGACCCGCTGCCTCCGTGGCATCTCTCCAGAGGCCTTGATGGAGTTACAGCAGGGATGGATTTGGCTCAGTTCTCTCCACCACAGGTTGGCCCATCTCCTG